TTTATCATACGATTACTACATCCAATCAAAATCAAGATTTTGTGTACGAACGCAAAACTCGAATTGAACCATCCACTTCGTTCCACTACGTTCCTGGTACGTGAGTCAAGTCACATTGATTATTGATATATTTATAAGTGATGGATTTTAACGGTAAAAAGAGATAAGTTGGAGAAATGAGTTTGACGCGATAACTATATGAGTTTTATTACTTTGGGATTCAGTTTAATTAATAGATGCGTCATGTAATTAACGTATATATCATGGAACAATCAAATAGTAATTCGGAAATTTTAATTTGGGCCCAGTTCCAAAAATGCGCGAATGAATAAAAATGAAAATTGCTTGATTAACATAAAATATTATAAAATATTAACTGGTTTTCAAATGAGTGATGCCAAGGAAAAACCTGTAAGCAAATATTTAGGCATCTATAAGGACAACCAGAACACTGATTGTATAAAATGATTTAATACGACATATCACAATTTTCCCAGGGTAAACTCGCTTTATTGATACCTCAAAATTTGCTTACAGTTTTCATTGGCATCACGCAAATATAGAAAGTCATCTATTTGTACAGCAGCTCACTATAAATCTTATTGCATAAAATAAGATCTTTGACGTTCATTTTGCATGATTTGAATGATAAATTTGATTTTTTATAATAAATAATTTATCATTGACTAAATTTGACTAAAATAATGCAAATACAACTCTACTAGATATTGTTTATTTTAGAAAAAGGCTGTCAAAAACAAAAATTATCCAAAAAAAGTATATATTCAAACTTTATATGCTAATATAACGTGTAGATTATACTTTTTAGAGATACTAAGAAGTCGGCAAATTCCTATTTCACCTACAAGTTATTTAACCGAAATTTCACAAGTTACAATTTTAATATCTGCACTAATAAAGTGCTAACCCTATTTGATGTCGGTTAAATTGTTGTTGAAGATATGAGTGCATCCAAGAAGTCAACTATTTTGAGACTTTCATTTTAGGAATTTATTCATGCAAATCATGTATTTTTTCATTTGCTTGACGGATTATATTACAAAAAAAGTAATATTGTTATTTTTTTAGTCTCAAAAACTCTTAATAATTATTACGCAATAAAACTCTTGTATAAAAAAGTTAGTTGATTTAAAGAATATGAATTAACGCCATAAACATAAAAAATATCAAAATGTAGAAAGGTTATCAAATATGTATATGTATTTACTTATTAAGAAAATGTACTGTAATCTCCTGAATTAATATTCTTAGAACGAACCGACGCGGAATTGTTCTTAAAGACAAGAATGTGTCTATTTTCAAGATTTCTTATAAATTCACGATAATTATGCCTCCCACTAATTTTAGACCAACTTTAGTCTTGTGGCACTAAATCCTAAATCATGTCAAAACGCTCAAGTAGTATAATTGAGAACAATGATCCCGAAATTGAAGTCATAATAGTAAACACCGTTAAACCGGTTGAAAAACGTAAACCAAATAAAACTATGAGTATTGAAGAACAAGAGTTATTAAGAAAGATTGACATAAGAATCATTCCTTTATTTTCAGCACTTTGTATATTAAGTTTCATAGATAAGTATGTATTAATACATCCAATACAGTATTTATATAATGATTTATTTAACTAAATAATGTTTTTTTAGGCTTAATATTGGAAATGCAAAATTGGAACATATAGAAGAAGATCTTGAGCTAACTCCAACCCAATATAACTGGCTTTTAAGTGCATTCTTCGTGTACGTTATTTTTATAAGTGAATTTAATTAATTAATTAATTAAGTTTTACATTTCTTATTTTATTTGGACAATTTATATTTGCAGAGCTTATGTATTATTTGAAGTACCGTCAAATGTTATGCTGATGAATACCAAGCCTTCAATTTGGAGTTAGTTTTCTTTATTAATTATTATTAATTATTATTTATTATTGCTTAATGTTGATTTATTCTCTTTGTTTGGATTCTTTTTTCTATAGTTTCATCTATTATGCTTGCATGTGGTATAATAATGATTTTTACTGCAGCAGTAAGTATTCTATAAATTTTTCAAAAATTTTTTTGGTTTATTATTAACTTTTTTATTTTAGGCAAAAGACTTTCCTCAAATCATGATTTTAAGATTTTTGTTGGGTATGTTTGAAGCTGGGTTTTTTCCAGGCGTCATATTTTACATTACGAAATGGTACAAGAATTCCGAAGAAAATTATCGAATTAGTTTATTTTGCTCGGCTGCTACAATTGCTGGTGCATTTAGTGGTTTAATGTCATTTTCTGTCGCGACTTTTTTAAATAAAATCAATGGATTAAGTGGTTGGCAATGGGTATGTACGTTTAGTTCTTGTTCAATTCATAATAATCTCGACCTTTTTTAATATATATATATTTTTTTAAATCTTAGATACTCATAATTGATGGTGTGTTTAAATGCACTATTGCATTGTTCTCTTACTATTTAATCCCAGACAGTGCAGAAACTGCCTCTTGGCTTACAAAAGAAGAACAAAAATTGGCCGTCGAACGTTTAAATGATGAACCTTCACATGCTCATGAATCTTATAGTGAAATTCATCAAATTTTGGACGCTTTTAAAGATTGGGTAATATTACAAATTTTTAATGCATTTCACTGTACTGTAACGTAATGTACTGTATTGGTAACTTAAAATATCTTTATTGGCTTATCCTATTAGAAAATATATATGGCCATGGTACTATACTTTTGTATCAGTGCTCCTTTATATTCCTTTTCTATCTTCATTTCATCATTTATGTATGGCTTGGGATTTAGTCCTGGTAATGTCTATTTTCACTTTAAGCTTTCATTATTATGATCAATTATTTGATTTCTATATCTACTGTTTTATTGATTTTTTTTTTGCTATATTTAAGCGTTCAAAACGCACGTGTAAGTCGAGTCCAAGCTTGACTTGGGACCGGGACTTTAATAAAAACTTTACTTTTGTGTCGGGTCGAACCGGACCAAACTTTTAACATCCCTAGGTACAGGGTACAATCACGATCGTACTACGCCAGGTCACGATTTTTTTGTCACGGTCCATTTTATCCGCGTCACTAGTAATAAATAATGCCAAACAATTAATATATAACATTACAACCACCATTTCTACAGATTAGTTCAAAAATTTAATAAATATGAAACAAATTTAAAATTTATTTAATGCAATTTATAAACATTAAACAATTTGCATATATTTTAGATTCAAAAAGAAAATAATGCAAGTAATTTACATTTTAAACGGGTTTTTTTTATATATCATAG